ATCAATAAGAACCATCAATAGAAGGTGCCGGAGGGGGAGGGGTTCATAAGACGCGTTTACTCGTGTTGGACACATTTTTTGCGAGAGTCCTGTCAACACTGTACTAGCAAAAGTTCACGGAACTTTGCGCGAAAGTTAGGTTTCGTAAACCTAATTCTGTGTGGACAAGGCCTTCCAGTTATATGAAATGAACGTAAAAAAATGACAGAACAAACATAAATATGGTTTAATAATTTTAACTTCCGCCGCCGCGCCGCGCTGACCGCTCTGTGTTTGGCGCAATGCGTGAAGTATTCCTACAGTCTTGTAGGCGCTATGCGTTTCACGCCGACCGCTGCTGCACGCACTGCGTTTGACGCAATGCATGAAGTATTTATGCAATCTTGTAGGCGCAATGCGTTTCACGCCGCCCGCTGCTGACCGCATTGTCTTTGACGCAATGCGTGAAGTATTCATGCAGTCTTGTAGGCGCCAATATGTGTTACATGCCGACCGCCGCGCCGCGGGTTTCTCCGTTTCATCTTAAGTTCTCGTCATCATTGCTCTCTGCGTCGTGCCATTCCAAACCAAATTCCGTGTTCGGTTTCTCTCTTAGTCTTAACTCGACTAATTAAAGGTGCTGTCTATTGTATCACAGAGAGACGACTAAATTAGAAATATACTCTCAGGAATCGAGAGATTTTGTCATTTTTTCTCGTTTATAATTTTTTTTCTGATTCCGATTTTTCTTCATAGCTACATTTAAAAATATTGCAAAATTTGCCGCCATGGGCCGCGGCCCATGTGGCCACCCCCTAAATCCGGCCCTGTTTAGAATGCGCTGTCGACCCTATTCATTAATCTTTCAAATGCATAGGTTGGCAGCGGCACTTTTCCAGTGATTTTCGTTTTTCACGTTGTCGCCTTTTTGGGCCCGAAAAGCTACATACATCGAGTTGTCCATACTCTCCCTATAAGGGTACTCTCGGTGCCGCCTAAAAAGTTGACGCACCCGCAGACTTTTTGAAACTCCCGATCGAGCTCATGATGCGTATGCAAAAAGTCAAAGTGGTTCCTAAAAAAGGCAACTATGATCGTTGACACCGGTTAACGAGGTTAGTATTTCCTCCTATTATACAATGTTTATTTTTGAGAAAAGTTATGAATATTTGCGGATGAAATTTTCAGATAATGTAAATTAAAGTGCGAACAAAATCATCTAAAAAATTGGAAGAAAAATATTTTCAAGTTCACCAGGAAATTCGTGTTATATCCAAGGAAATTTGGCAACGCCTGAAGATTCATACGGCGTTTTTCCTTAGCACGGCAGAATATTTCGTATGTGGGTGCGTGTGCGCTTTTCCATCAAAGTTACTCTTGAGGGGGGATTTCAGGCTTAAAGTCCGTGAGAACGAGGAGAGTTCCCACTCGCAAAGATCACAGGTGTTGTGGCCTTGGCCAGTTATAGCTTTTAGTCCAGGCAATTGGGCATCAAATAGGGGCTCTTGGGGAAAATTTCCCGGAAAACTTTTTGATGAGTGATTCCTATGTATTTTTGGACGCTGAATCCGAATTTCGCATTTGTGTAAAGATATTTTCGCCGCTAAAGCCGCCATTTTGAAAAAATGGTCTAAAATCTCAGTTTTTGAAAATATCTCGCTTAATTTTGATTTTTTGACCAAAGTAGTTATTTTCAAAAATAAACTACATTCAATTCTAAAGAAAAGATGTTCTTATCAATTTTTTGATATGACTGAAATTTAAGCCGCCAGAGCGCGCTGAAAAAACCGCCAAAATTCGAATTTCGCGAAACTTGCGCTTTTCTCGTGAATAACTTTTCTCGGGGCGACTCTACGTGAAAAATCTTAACTATCAAACTTATAGAGCAACAAATGTGATACTAGGAGTTGCTTTTTTTAATTTTTCTTAATCCTGGACGGCACAGACAAGCTTTTGAAGTTGCACTGAAAACCGAGCATGGACAGGGTTCGCCAGTATCTGCGAAATTACTCTTCTGTGGACTTTTCTAGGGGGCTTATTTACGAGTCAGATTGTAAAATTTCATTGGAAGGTGACCCCTCCCCCCCCCCCGAAGACCCCCCAATATTAAATGTCTCAAATTACCCCCCCCCCTCCCCACTCTGGCAATTACCGCTATTGGCGNAAAGTTCACGGAACTTTGCGCGAAAGTTAGGTTTCGTAAAGCTATCTCCGTGTGGACAAGGCCTTACATTTATATGAAATGAACGTAAAAATAATAACAGAACAAACATAAATGTGGTTTAATAATTTTAACTTCCGCCGCCGCGCCGCGCTGACCGCTCTGTGTTTGGCGCAATGCGTGAAGTATTCCTACAGTCTTGTAGGCGCTATGCGTTTCACGCCGACCGCTGCTGCACGCACTGCATTTGACGCAATGCATTAAGTATTTATGCAATCTTGTAGGCGCTAATATGTGGTACATGCCGACAGCCGCGCCGCGCCGCGCCGAGGGTTTCTCCGTTTCATCTTAACTTCTCGTCATCATTGCTCTCTGCGTCGCGCCATTCCAAACCAAATTCCGTGTTCGGTTTCTCTCTTACAATTAGTCTTAACTCGACTAATTAAAGGTGCTGTCTATTGTATCACAGAGAGACGACTAAATTAGAAATATACTCTCAGGAAACGAGAGATTTTGTCACTTTTTCTCGTTCGTAATTTTTGTTCTGATTCCAATTTTTCTTCATAGCTACATTTAAAAATATCGCAAAATTTGCCGCCATGGGCCGCGGCCCATGTGGCCACCCCCTAAATCCGGCCCTGTTAAGAATGCGCTGTCGACCCTATTCATTAATCTTTCAAATGCATATGTTGGCAGCGGCACTTTTCCAGTGATTTTCGTTTTTCACGTTGTCGCCCTTTTGGGCCCGAAGAGCTACATACATCGAGTTGTCCATACTCTCCCTATAAGGGTACTCTCGGTGCCGCCTAAAAAGTTGACGCACCCGCCGACTTTTTGAAACTCCCGATCGCAAAGCAGCAACGGTGGCTCATAATGCGTATGTAAAAAGTCAAAGTGGTTCCTAAAAAAGGCAACTATGATCGTTAACACCGGTTAGCGAGGTTAGTATTTCCTCTTATTATACAATGTTTATTTTTGAGAAAAGTTATGAATATTTTCCTATGACATTTTCAGATAATGTAAATTAAAGTGCGAACAAAATCATCTGGAAAATTGGAAGAAAAATATTTGGACCGCGTTAAACAAAAAGGAACCGAGCCACATCAGCTGCTGCTAAATTTAATTGGGCAATTCAATCTTTTACATGAAAACGGTTGTGCGGATTTTCGTGCAAATTTCAGTGAAAATTCTTCACGGTACTAGGCAAATTCCCTAATTATTTCAAAGAAATCCAAACAAACGTTCTCTCGTAAAAAATTTAATTGCTCAGTTACACTTGGCAATAGCTGATGTGGCAGGCTTGGTTCTTTTCTATTAAACCCGGTCCATTTATAGGTTCGCCAGAAAATTCGTGTTATATCCAAGGAAATTTGGCAACGCCTGAAGGTTCATACGGCGTTTTTCCTTAGCACGGCAGAATATTTCGTATGTGGATGCGTGTGCGTTTTTCCATCAAAGTTACTCTTGAGGGGGGGATTTCAGGCTTAAGTCCGTTGGAACGAGGAGAGTTCCCACTCGCAAAGATCACAGGTCTTGTGGCCTTGGTCAGTTAAAGCTTTCGCCACCTTCGGAAGAGGAGTCAAGAAGAAAGTTTGGAGGAGCAGGACATTCGGATTGACCTGTTGATCTCAAGGCTTATAACATCAGGGGTGTCACCCCATTTTTACTTTTCTTTCCTTTTCTCATTTCGTCGCCCCTCTATCGGAAGGGCGCACCTCAATTTCCACGTGAGCTTTGTTTCGCGCAGCGATCTACGCTTTTCGGGGCTCATGCGAAAATCTAGATACGTCCTCACGCCGAAGGAGCCACGATTTCCTCGAGAGTCTCGACTGGAGAGCTTCAATAATCGCTGCCTCTTCGTTACGTACCTCTTCGTGCTCACCTCAGTTCGAGAGTGCTCCCGTCGTAAGGAAAAACGTCGTATGAACCTTTCGGCGTTGCTAAGTTTCCTTTGATAAAACACGAATTTCCTGCTAAAGTTATGAATAGTATCCTTACGTAGTTTGGTGTCAACAAACAGTCTTTCTAAGTTTTGGCGTGATCATCCAAAAATAAAAATTCTGACTCCTATGAAAGATGATCACGGTGTCGACGAAACTTAAAATTTCCCCCATAACGTCTTTCAAATGTTATGTTTCGGTTTCCTGGTGCTATTTACTCTCCAACTTAACTTTCCCTAAACCTGATCTAACCCAACATTACCTTTCAAGACAAAACGCAACTTCACTAAATCGAACAGTCCCCAACCTTAACCTCACCTGCCCTAACGACGTCAACAATAGTTGACTCCATGATCAGATTTTGGGTTTGTTGACACCATGATAGTTGACACCATAATTGTCGACATCATGCAACGTTTGATACCAGGATCGTCGACACCATGCAACGTTTGATACTAGGATCGTCGACTAGAGTACCTGTATAGGGAGAGTACCGACAGATCGGTTCATGGAGGGCTTAGGGCCCAAAAGTGCAGCCACCCTTCTAACCAACTTCTAACGCACAAAATTTCACTGCCAGTCTGCAGATTCCAATTCTAACCAAATGGCCAAGAATGTACAGAAAAGAGCGTTCTTCCGCGAAATTGAGTAAATTTATGCAAAAACTGAGTCAAACGCGTGCTTAATAAAGGACGGTTCGTAACAATATTATCAGTAAATCGCTCTGGATAATTGAAATTCATAGGTTGGCTGCCCTTTTGGGCCCTAACTTTATTCGCGGAGGCATCGGTGAAGGCCTGATGGACTTTCGGAGTCTCAGATCTGTCGGTACTCTCCCTATACAGGTACTCTATCCTCGACACCATGCAATGTTCCCGCCCCTCCCCGAAGCGTGCAGAAGAAAAATGCGCTTGACTTACGGTAGGACCGGGAGATTGGGCTCCTCGTGGTGGTAGACGTCCCCGCTGGGGTGGATGAAGACGCAATCGTCGGCGGCGACCGGCTCGTCCCTCCTCCAGCACCTGCCGCAGAGCACCCTCGCCGAGGGCAGCTCCACCTCGGTCGACTCGGACCAGTCCTCGGAGTCGGCATCGCCCTCCGCGTCGCCGCCCCCACCTTCATCGCCCTCCCCCTCGCCCTCGCCATCGCCGTCCCCGTCGCCCTTCCCGTTCTCGTACTCGTAGATCCCCTCGTCGCCGTCGTCCTCGATCTTGGCCGTGGAGGCGCCCGGCTCCTGGCTCCGGCGGGCCAGCGAGCGGAGCTTGTCGTCCAGCTGCTCGGCCCAGGCCACCTGGGTCGGCGTCGCCGCTTGCTGCGACTCGGGTTGCTGCTGCTGCGTCGTCTGGGTCGTCGTCTGTGTCGTCGGGGGCGGCTCCTCGTCGGCCGTGTCCTGGAGCTCCGACTCGAGGTACTCGAAGGCCTTCTTGAGGGCCTCGTGCTCCTGCCTCATCGAGGGCGAGTGCGGGGTCTCGCGGCGGACGCTGTTGCTCCCGCTCCGGCAGCGGGGCCGCGGCCGGAGCCCGCCGCCTCCCTCGATCCGATCCGCGTTCGCCTTCACCGACAGTTTCCCCTCCAGCTGGTGAGCGTCCTCTGTATCTGAAACACAATCCGATTAACTCATTAGGGGCCGTTCAAGTATTACGTAAAGTCCCTTTGTACTGAGAGTAAAGACAACGCGAATCCATTTCTGATTGGTTCCCGTATTTTAGGCCTTCACAGTGTCACAAACTGGAATTGAGATCACAGTTTCACCAATTGCAAAGAATACAAACTTGACTCTAGTATTACGTACGGCATTTTTTCCAACTTTTTGACACCCCCACCCCCCGGGTAAGAAACCCTCCTCAATAGAAAAATACAGTGCTTTTTCAGTACCTCCAATTGACGAAATTCGAAAAATTTTAAATTCTTGCTCGAATTGCGACAACAATGCCAAAAAGGAAAACAAATCTGGACTTTCTTGCAGAATTTCCGCACTTTTTCAGTTCTTCCGGACCTCCCTTAAAAAATCAGTACTATTTCCGGACTTGTAGACACCCTGCATAGGTTCGAGCGGCAGATTAATCGATTCATCGCAAAGCACGCCACGCCACTGGTCGTTTTTCCGTGTTTCCGGGGTCACGAATGGCACCGCAAAGGGAAATAATTCATCGGAAAACGAGGAGCTGAGACAGAGATGCACATCGCGAAGAAATTGACATCGCACCGGCCGTAACCACGCAGAGACGACCAGAGGGAGAGAGGAGATCCGATCTTCTTCCTGACGCGGTCGGTCCCTCTTTGCTTTGTCAAGTTTGCGCCACTAATAATTTGGATCAGGAAGTTGCACTCTAAAGCGAATAAAATATTCAGCCGAGAGCAAGCAGCGAGGAAACCTTTCACTTGCTAATGGGTTCCAACTCTGGTTTCGTGCTTTGTTCAAAGTGGGGCGTTTTAAAAGAGGAATCAAAAATTTAAGAGCCATTTACCGTTATTGGCGACGGAAAATTTATGAAAATCATTCCAAAGCTGTTCAACTACATTTTCAATAATCGCCGTCACAAAAAAATAATGGCAGAATGGTGGGTTAAGCCAGAGGTCGACGCACTAGTATTCCTTTCATAGAAAGGGAATCAGCGAACGAAGGGATGCTGGGATAGAACTCCTTCAGGATGGCCAAATGTACGTTTATCTTTTTTTGTTTTTCAAGTAACACTGTAAAATATTGATAAAAAGCTCGCGAAATCTCAAAACAAACACGAAGGTCTTTCGAGGACTTACCAATGATCTCTGATGGAAAAAATTAATGCACGGTGGCCACAGTCAGGGAAAACCGGGAAATGTCAGGGAAAATTTGTTAGATCACCTTCATTTCTTTTCTAGAATGGGTTGAAGATTTTGAACAAGAAATTTTGCCTGAAAACAATATTCAATTATTCCTTCTTAACCACCCGTCACATCTTCAATTGTCAAGGAATTTCACCAAAATGCGTCGAGGAAATCAGGGAAATGTCAGGGAATTTCATTTCCTAAAGTCTGTGGCAACCCTGTGATAATCGCTGGTGATTTGCATTCACTTTGGACTGAGAAAAAGAAGTTTGAAGTTCTACTCCTCCCTTAGTGACTCAAAGTTAAGGACACGGTTGTACACTACTATTTCCCGACTTAAAATGTATTCCTCGACTTTGAATTTTTGACGGATGAGGGTTGACGACTAATTTTTCAAACTTCTTCGAGCTAATTTTTTCCGGAATTTACCCTGATCACAGAAATCGATAGACAAAGCAATGGACAAAGAGATCTTGTTGCTTGAAACGACTACCTTGATGACTTGCCTTGCTTGACTGCCTTGATGGTTGATACAGACTACGGGGAAATATGACGGACTAGCAGTGGGGTTCCTCGATCCGTTAGTTAGTCTGTTACTAACCTGCTTCTTCAATTTTTTCTTTATTTTCGAATACGAGTTTGTTTGTTAGTTGCAAGAACTTTCAAGGAAGCTAAGTAAGCTTCCCTTTTACACCTATTACGTAGGAAAAGAACAAATTGAAGTTTTAATAAACGGCAGTCAAATTAAAACTCAGGCCGCTCTCTCGATCACGGAGAAGGGTAGCGACCGGTCCAAAGCAACCACCCGCTTTCAGGAATGAGATCACTTTATTTCCTCTTTGTCTATCAATTTCAATAATCGGTCCATTGGTGCGTAACCCGGTCGGTTTAACCTCGGTCGAAATGCAGAGTTCTCGCCAAAAGCAAGCGTCGCACAGTGGGTCGAGTCAATAAGAGAAGTCGGACAAAATCTGGAAACTTTGAAGGCTTATATTACTGAAAATATGGAACGAAAAAGTTCAAGAGTGGTTCCATTCGTCTTTTCGTAAAATTTCCTTTTAAATAAACCTTTGAATTTGGATTTGTGCAGAAAGAAACATCAAAATTTGCAACTTGAATCGAAAATTTCATTTCCAGCCTCTGATTGGATCGATCCACTCAGGGTTGCCACAGAATTTAGAAAATTAAATTCCCTAGCATATCCCTGATTTCCCTAACACAATTTGACGAAATTCCCTGACAATCGAACAAATGTTCGATTTTTAAAAGGCATAACTATAAATAGTTTTCGGGCAAAATTTGTCAATCTTTGTTAAAATATTTGTCATTAGTCAAAAATCAGGCAAAATTTGGCGAAACGTCAACCCCACTCGAGAAAGCAAATGAAGGCGATTGGACAATTTTCCCCTAAAATTTGTGTCATTCTCTCTGACAATTTCAGGTTTTTCCTGACTTTTTGTAATTCCCTAACATTCAGGGTGTCTACTGAAACAGGACAGAAAAAAAAATCAGTACTTTTACAGTACTTTTGCAGTACATTCCCAAGAAATTCAGTACCTCCTCAATTGAATAATTCAGTACTTTTTCAGTACATCCATTAGAAGAAATTCGAAAAATTTCAAAAATTTGAATTTCTCGCTCAAATTGTGACAAAAATAATAAAGTCCGGACCTCCTTGCGGAATTTTCGCACATTTTCAGTACTTCCGGACCGCCCTTAAAAAATCAATGCTATTACCGGACTTTCCGGAAATTCCGGACTTGTAGACACCCTGGAGAGAGCAAATGAAGGTGATTTGACAATTATTGAACTGCCCGCTCAGAAAAACTCAAAGCTCTACGTGAGTCAAATCGCGCGCTACAACGGTTTCAGCAAGCTTCTCAATCGAGCAATGTTCATTTCCCACCATATGTTTTTCAAATTATAAGTAATTTGCTATAGCTGAGCCAAAGTGTCAAGATTGAGGTTGCCAGATTTTTTGATCGCACAGACGTTCATGGTAACGTTTAGCGCGCGATGTGAATCACGTAGAGCAATGAGTTTTTATGAGCGAGTGGTTTCAATTCATGTACCAAGAATCATTGAATATCTTCGGAAGGAGTTGATTTCGGTAATTTTCGTTGTGCGCATCGTGTTTTACGTGAAATTTTGGTTAAGAAACATGTATCAGAATGCTGAAATTCGTACCTTATCTAGTGGTCCATTCCAGGTTTTCCCTGACTTTTGAAAATTCCCTAATATTTCCCGGTTTTCCCGGTATTCCCTGACCGAGGCAAGCCTGTCCACTGTGCGTCGACACGATCCGCTACTGAAAATTGGCGAACCCTCGAAATCTGGCAGAGGCAGACGCTTATCTGCGACGTCGGCGGCCGGATTTGGCCGTCCTTGTCCTCCCCCTCGCTCCTGGGTCCCCCTCGACGATTCGGGGGGGGGGCAGGGGGGCTCTCGAAGAAGGCTCCCGGTCGGAACTGGAACTGGAAGAGGAGGCCAGATTCGGGGATGCCGCCGTCCCGCTTTCGACGGGCCCCGCGGACACCCATCGCGATCAAGCCCGTCCCGTTTTGGTCGCCCGCGATAAGTTGACAGGGTTGCCGCAGAATTTAGAAAATAGAATTCCCTGGCATTTCCCTAGCCAGGGTGTATACTAAAACAGTGGGCTGATTGTTGAAATTGATAGACAAAGCCATAGACAAGGGAGAAAAAAAGGATATGGAGGGGTCCTATTATTGGTGGAAGCGGGTGGTTGTAATGGACAGAGGAGGTAGATAATAGACTAGCTAACGGCAACTTACGAGAGACCCTTTAGTTGGTCCATCATTTACCCCCTCAGTCTAAAAGAGCCACCCAAATTAACTCAATAAGATCACTCCATACTGATTATATCCTCTTTGTCTATTGCTTTGTCTACCAATTTCAACAATCAGCCCGCAGGCTGGCCAAAAATCAGTACTTTTACAGTACTTTTTCATTACATTCGCAAGAAATTCAGTATCTCCTCCGACGGAAAAATTCCGTACTTTTTCAGTACCTCCAATTGACGAAATTAGAAAAATTTCAAAAATTTGAAATCGCGACAAAAATGACAAATTTTTTTAAAAAACTCATGTCCATTTTGCGGAATTTCCGCACTTTTTCAGTGCTTCCGGACCGCCCTTAAAAAATCAGTACTATTTCCGGAGTTTCCGAAAATTCCGGACTTGTAGACACCCTGCTGCCACATCGGTAGACAAAGCGATAGACAAAGAAGACAAAATAGATACGGAGAGATCCTATTTGTGGAAGCGGATGGTTGTAATGGACAAAGAACGTAGGTAGGTAATACACTAACTAACGGCAACCCGCACGATAGACCCTACAGATAGTCCACAACTATGTTCTCCCTTAGTCTACAGGAAGAAGGAACCACCCATTTCAACCAATAGGATCCCTCCATACATTCCTTGTCTTCTTTGTCTATCAATTTCAACGATCAGCCTGCAGGACGAAATTTGGCAACTTTGGGATGCTCGTATAGCGTTTTTCCTGAGCAAGTCTGTACGGAATTCACGGCACTGCGGTGCGATGGAATGGCCCCGGGGCTGAGCTTGCTGGTTTCAAGACAAAGAGAGAGGTGTTAACAGGAGAGAAAATGTTTTGAGACCCCGTACGTGTATACGGCTGCCCGCTTTGTAGACGGCACTTTCGGGAGCAGTTCATACTATTCTTCGGGCGTGATGATGACCGGTAAGTCAAGTAGCGCATCGGGCAACCTGTTGGACGAGTGAAATGGTTGAACCGGCGGTGGATAA